CAATCCAGCCCTTAGCGCCCTGCTATTCCAGTCCTGCACCCCCGCAGTTCTGCCAATGTGCCTCAGTCCAGCCCTTACCGCCCTGCTATTCCAGTCCTGCACCCCCGCAGCTCCGCCAATGCGCCTCACCCCTGCCCTTAGCACCCTGCTATTCCAGTCCTGCACCCCCGCAGCTCTGTCAATGCGCCTCAGCCCGGCCCTTAGCACCCTGCTATTCCAGTCCTGCACCCCCACAGCTCTGCCAATGCACCTCAGCCCTGCCCTTAGTACCCTGCTATTCCAGTCCTGTGTGATAAACAGATTCTCTCCATTCAGTCAGGCTGGGGATTGTGTACAGCCAGAGGGTCTGGTTGGGAATTCGCCAAAGCCACGTTCACTAGTAAACTCAGCCAGGCTTGGAACCCAGCTCTCCAGGGGTGAAAGGTGAGGGTTCCGGCTTGCTTCCCTGCTTCCCTGTGGCTTTCACTGAGGCAGGATATGGAAGACTTGTTTATTGGGCGAAGTGGGGTAAGGAGAGAAGATCCAAAGAATTTATGTATGCCCCCCCCCCACTGCAATGTCCCTGATGGGAATAGCATGTTTGCTATGTCTGAGGGCACCCATTACAACAAGCTACAAAATACATTTAGGGCATTGCTGAGATGGGTGCATTTGCCCCAGCGCTGGGCTGAAAACCAGCAGTACCTTCCCAGCTTCAGGCATTGGCCTGCTCCTGGGGTGGGGGTGTGGTACCCGGCAGCTGCATGTCCAACTCACCTGCACATGCTGCAGACAAAGCACTTGGGGTGGTATGTCCTGCCCAGGGCAGAGATGACCTCTCCAGTGATGAAGTCGCGGCAGCTGTCACAGCGGGTCCCGTAGAGCTGCTGGTAGTCATGGGTGCAGATGTACTCCCCGTTCTTAAAGAAGAAGCCTGATTGGGCCAGGTCACAGCCGCACACTAGAGAGGGAGAAAACAGCCCCGAGGGGAGAAGAGTCAGCCCAGCAAGCACCTTCACAAGCTGGGCACGTTTCCTCCAAGAGCTTCTGAGAGATGCCACAAGGTGAGACGTTTCTGAGTCAAGGTGAAGTCATTGGGGGGTCAGCCTGGGCTAGCACAGTCACAGCATCTCAGCAAAGCACTTGGTACACTCCAGTGCATGCTGCACCCATTCCCATAAGGACAACAGCTGAGGGCACACAGGGAGTGAGGCCATGTGTTCCCCCCATCGCTTTTACTGAGGTCCCCTCGGTGGCCCTGTATCTTCACTCCTGGTTTCCACATTCCTCCCTTCCCTACAGCCCCACTTTTTTTCAAAATGGTTGCAACTTGGCCTACGCACATGGGAGCTTTGAATTAATCCTCAGAGAATAAGCATTAAGGTGAAGCACTAACTGCTTTGACCATCATAGCCTGCTGGGCTGGACTTCTCTATAGAACTCACCAGCCGTGTCCCAGTGCACACCAGGAGGGTCTCTGGGAAAACCTAGCATGAATTCTTCAGCTGTAGTCTCTCAAATGTGATTGTTCCAAAAACTTGATCAGGAGCCTTGGGGGTGGGGATCTGGCCTGAGGACTGCAGACATCTCAGTAGGTTCCTTCCTTTCCACAGCCGGCCAGCCCTCCAGCTCTGAAATGCTGAGGGGCCAGTGGGCACCTCCTTCAGCCCCACAAGATGTCACTGTTGGGCTGCGGGCCCGGTCCAGGATGAAGCCTCCTGGTTTTGGAAAGGGATGGGCTGTGCTGAGAGGAAACTGTAGGCCGCACCCAATGGCCAAAGGAACTGGCCAGCAAGATGATTCTATTGCATTGCAGCCTGGCATGACCGAACATGGATTGGGCTAATCTAAGAGCTGCATTATTCCCTCACCCTGCCCACCACACCTGATGGCACCTAAACAGGGTTAGGCACATCCCCCTTCCCTCTACATTTTGCCTTTACAAATATCAGAGGTTTTTTTTATTTTAATTGCTTTAGTGCTCGTGAAAGTGATTGCCAGGTAGTATTAGCTAGCACCAGGCATGCTGGGGACAAGTGCCATGCAAACTTCCTCCACACAGACCCACCCCTAGAGTTTACGCACTGGCAGGCTCTTCCTCTAGGCTTGGCTAGGAAAGAGGCCATGTAGCTGCAGTAGCTGTCCAATGACTCTAATGGACCCCAAGGCCGTCAGAGCTGCTGTGCCAGGTTTGGAAAGGCAGCCACCACCTCCTTCATCACCTGCTGTGGCACCAGCATGAAGTGAGTTTCACGATTATGAGTCTGACTTTTACCCTGCATCTCTTTCAATACCAATAAAGCATCACACACTCCAGGGATTGTCCTTTGAGCAGGGGTACAGAACTGGGGGTCTTCCAATGAAATCCCCCCTTCAGCCCAGGAGCTCTGCTGCAAGATGGTGCAACTGCAGAGAGTAGCAGAGCAGAGCATTCAGTGGCACAACCCATCCAGCCTGGACGGTGGATCTTCTGCTCCCTTAGTTTTGCCCGTGACTTGGGACTGTTACCAGGAGCTTTTAAACCACCCCAGGAAGCTCCCATGGGTGACAGGTGCCTCTTCAGTTTGCTTCTTTTAAAAGAAATCAAGAATCAGCAGGATTCAGCTGCTGCTCCTGTTACCTTGTCATGGCAAAGGCATTCACAGACCTGGAAAGTCGCCATGGGAGTAGGAGCACAGGGCCGCTGATGCTGGAGACAGGAACAGAACTAATCTCAGCCCATTAACTTCTCCAGGAGAAAGAGGCTGCCTTCAGAACTGCCATGCAGGCGGCATGGCTGAACGATGCATGAAAATGTCTGTCGGGGGCTGAGTGGCCAAGGAGTGCTGCTTGCTTGATGGGGCAGGCAAAGAGCTAATTCTGGTCTGTGAATGGATGGGCCCCAAAGCTCTCACAGGGTGTGTGTGTGATTTGACATCACTGCATCAGCTGGGGAGTGAAAACTCTTGTTTCAGGCTCTCTTATATACCCTCCCATTCCCCAAGCTCAGCAGAGGGATCTGAGCACCCAGGAATGAGGCAGCAGAAAGTGCCAAGATTATCTCAAAGCACTTTATTGGCATTAATGCCCCAGAGTCCCTTTGTGCCATAGAGAGGTATCATCATCCCTATTTTACAAGTGGGGAAACTGAGTCACAGGGAAGGGTAGTGACTTGGTGCTCCAAGGTCACACAGGAAGTCTGTGGCACCTGCCACAACACTGGGATGAAACTGGTCCTTAGTTCCATGCTCTAACCCCTACCCCATGCTCCCTCCCCTAGTGCCAGGTTGTAGAACAGAACAGCTAAGCTGTGCGGGGAGTCCAGCTTACATTCAGGGGGGCTGGTCTGCACTTGGAGAGGGAGACCGGACTTGCATGGCGCTTGGAGAGACTTGAACATTCAACAGAAGTCCAGCAACCCTTTGGGGTATTTAGCGCTAAGCTGAGCAGCTCAGCGTCCTGCCAGCCACGCTCTGTGCAGGTCTCCTGTGCACTTGTCCAAGGCATCGCTGGCCTGGGAGTAGATGTCTGCCCAGTTCCCCGAGCCTTATGTCCTGCCAGGGACACTTACCATGAGGTCCCAGTCAGTCTGCAAGAGGAGCTTCTCACCACAACCCTTCTTCTCACTGCCTCCACTGATACCTCCTGCTCAACCGTCACTGCCTGGCCCAAGTCAGTTCAGGAAGCAGCTGGAACGCCCCAAGCTGCAGAAGCAGCACGCAGCCCCCCAAAGCCTGCAACCAGCTGTTTGCAGTGCTGTGCTTCTCCCACCTTTGCACAGATGTGCTTCCATTCCCAGCTGGGGACAGGGCCACCTGTGAGGTAACGCTCAGCTTCCCGGGCCTCTCGGAACGGACAGCGCTGTTGCTTCACTCGGTAAGCAGCTATTGGGCAGAACAAAAGCAGGTGCCTCTTCATTCCTCCTGCTGCATCCTCCAGGTACTGCAGTGATGAGGCTGGACGGACGGACGGACCAGCTCTGTCAGATTCAGCGCAGGCCCAGACACAGAGGCAAGAGTTGCAGAGGCAGGTTTTGGCCCCATCTTCCCCAGGGCCAGAAGCACGTTGGCGCTAACCGTTGGGCAATGGCTATCGAGCTCTCTGGGCTGAGGGCAGGCCTGAAAGCGAGGAGGCCAGTGCAGGGGCTGGGGAAAGGTGAGGCTGGGTGGGGAGGGAGCTGGGAGGGGGCAGGTGGGGGAGGAGGGTTTCCTCTCATAATTTATTCCCTTTCACTTTGAAATCAGACGGCAGCCACTGCCAAGCTCTCCCCGGTGGCTCCTCGTCCCCTTTGAAGCTGGAGCCAGTCTGAGCTCTTTGTCTGGTGGAAGAGTTTGCTGTTTTGCACAGATAATGCAGTGGGGGAGGGGTTTCTGCAGCAGAGCGCTGTGCACCTGCAGGCCAGCACCGAGAGCGACCTGGGCCCGGTGGGTGGGGGTGTCTGGGAATCTGAGGCTGGCTGTATCCTGGGGAGGTCCCTGTGTACACGCAGGGCGGTGCGTGCATGCAAAGGAGACGTACATATAGATATATATATTGAAAGAGAGAGATAGTGTGTATATGGGGTTGGCTCTGACTGTGGGAGAGACCAAAACTACCTGGGAGAGAGAGACCCTCCTCCCCGCCCGTGCATGAAGGAGTCACTAAGTGCAGGCGATTTGTGCCCGGGTTAGCGTGAGGTGATGGGAACTAGGAGGAGCAGAGGTCTTTAATGAACCCTGGTAATTCTGTGTTTTACAATTTATAGATCCTGCTATTGGCCCTCCTAAGAGCGGCTCTTTTAATAAACGGACTAAGGAGCCCTTTAGCATCTGTTCAGGGCCATTAGCTTTAACGGTCTCTCAGCTCTGCTCCCCTTAAGCCCCTCCTCAGGACCGGGGGAGGAGCCCAACTGGCCCACGTTGCTCTCAGCAATCACTGCAAATGGCCCAGGAAGAGCACAGGGAGCTGTGCTTGGGCGATGCACAACGGTGGGCGGGGGGAGCTTTACGCCTCCAGGAGGCAGGCTGCCACGCAGCTCAGGGCACTGCGCCAGGAAGGCCTTGCCAGCTGTTGGGAATGGGATGGCCCCTGCATGAAGTGAGTTGGTGACTCTCACAGTGCAGTTCCTAGTGGACAGGTGTCCACAATACACAAACCACCGTCACAACCATACGCCCCACCCTCCACCCCCAGTTGGCTCATTCCCGGAATGAAGCAAGTCCCAGGATCCGGCTGAAATTAGAAAGTAAGAAGCCCACACTTCTTCTGCACAGGTTGGTGAGCCTTGTCAAATTAATTAACTGCTATTAACCGTTCATTTATCCAGTGCAGTAAACGTACATGGGACTTTGCGAACACAGATGGGGTCAGGTGCATTTCCCATCCCAGCTCCCGCAGGAGATGCACTGGGGCCAGGCTTAACATCCCTAACTTGGCATCTTCCCCGATCTGCCTTATTAAGCGTGAGAGTGTCTTTGAAGCCCTGCAGCAGCACATGGAGGTTGGGAGTGTGCTGGGGGTTTCTCCTTTGATCAGCCTGTGTGAAAGCACCTCTGGATCAAATGCGCTGTCCCCCGGGACTCCCCTGAGGGAGTTTAGCCCAAGCTGCAGTACATGGCATCCTGGACCACACTGATTTCATCCCCATTTCATATCAGTCAACTTCATTATTGTGGAATTAGTCAGTTACCAGTCGACGACCCTGCCAGGAGCAGCTCTTGGTTTCTGCCCCCTTTTCTCCAGGTTTTATCTCAGCTGGGGCCAGCAGCATGGCTCAGAACAGCTACTCCCTTCTCCCCTCTCCCTGGGGCAGGAGGACTACTAGGATACTGGCTGAGGCAGACTGCAAGGCCATGCATGCAGATCAGAATCATGGTGCATGAGCAGAGCTGTGCACAGGTCCAGGACTAGGAAAGCAAAGGGGGGCTGTAGGGCAGGATTAAGGTGCCCTGGAAGACTCATGTGGGATGCCAGGACTAGACTAGCAGCAGAGAGGTTTGCGGATGTGGAATTGAGGTGCATACACAGAGCTATTGGGGTAGGAGAGAAGGTGGGGAGTTTGTGCAGCACTCCCCCAAGCCTGGCTCTAGCCAGCTCTCTCAGTCTCTCCCGTGCACAAGCACTAAATCCCCACCCCCACCCAAGGAATCAGAACCCCTTGTGAGAACCACGTAGGTTTCACCACGACTCAGAGGGGCTGGATTAGTCACACACAGGCCTTTCAGCATCCAGCACAGATACCAGGCAGGTGGGGCAGCACGACCAGAAATCCTTAAAGCTGTAGCCTCCTACCTTGGCAGGTGAAACACCTGATGTGGAAGTGATTGCTCTGGACGCGCACCACCTCTCCCTTACATGTGTCTCCGCAGCGGTAGCACTGGATGACGGTGGAGCTGCCCCCGGAGCCATACGGGTTTTGTTGATAGGGAACTGCTGGTGAAAAGGAGAGAGTGACAAAGACAGGGTGTGTTACCACGAGGGAGGCAGCTGGCTGCAAGTCATGATTCCAACACAACTTAAACGGTGAGCTCTGTCTTTTTGTTGTGTGTTTGTACAGCACCTAGCACAATGGGGCCCTGATCCATACCTGGGGCTCCCGGGTGCAACTGCCATACAAATAATGAACACTATCATAATAGTGATGGAGAAAAGCTACAACAGCGAAAATGGTCAGCAATTCATCACCTCTGTGAAAACAATACATGCCCCAGATGGGCTGTCAGTGAGAGATAGCTCTAGTGAGCAGAGCAAGGGACTGGGAGTCAAGAAACCTGGTGTTCTGCTCCTTGCCCTGCCCCGCATTCACTGCAGGCCACTTCCCCATCTGGGCCTCAGTTTCCCCATCTGCACACTGAGGACAATGAGACTGACCCAGCTTTATAAGCTCTGCAAGGTCTTGAGACAACAGATTCTAAAAAGGGCAAAACATCACTCCTTCTTCTCCTCATTCTAGGTGAGTGGGCTTGGAATAAACCACCAACTGCCCCAGGAGATGGGGCAGGTCTGCGTTATGGGCCACGTGCAAGCCATGTACTCGCTTCTCAAAGGCTCGACAGTTGGGTGCACAGAAATGGAAGTCAAAAATGAAAATTGGGCTTGGCCACTGGGCCCTGTCTCCCTAGGTGCAGCCCCGGACTCACCTAGCCCCAGATTCTGACTGGCTTTTACCAAGCAAATGATGCCAAGAACCTGCCGCCTGGAAACGTGAGAGCCCAGGAGCAGGAGGATCCATGGGGACATGTACTGTTCTCCCAGACTCGTAGAGCCTCAGGTCTTGCACTGGCAGGTGGAGCTCCCTGAGTCCCTGCTATCCCGGGGGGAGTTGGTGGGGCAGGGCTCTGGTTTTCTGAGGTTCCTTTCTGGACCAGTGCAACCACGTAAAAAAACCCAAAAAAACTATAGCTGGAAGGATGAGAAGTGAAAGCACATGCATCCTGCAGCCGTGCTGAGAAGTACAGCCCCAAAGGAGTCTGTCCACACCCCACACCTGCCCCCACCCCGCTGTCTCCCCTTCCCTCCCGTTTGGGGTGTATATTTACGGCTGCAGCCAGGCAGTGTCTCTGCAGTTCCCAAACATCTGCTCCCCAGCCCTCGGAAGAGGAGCTGCTGCCTGAGTAAACACATCAAAGTCCAAACACTAACCCCACTCTCCAGCAGATGCTTCCCAGCTGCAGAGTCAGCAAGGAGCCTGCCGAACAGCAAGCCCTCCCAGAAACTGCGTCTCCTCCCTTCCGAGGCCAGCACAGCTCCTTTCCTCCCCACCAGGACAGCTGCCCCTTGCTCCTTTTGCATGATCAACATGAGGCCACCTTGCTTTCCTTTTCTAAGATGAGTCTGGGGCTGGGGAAAGGCCCCACCAGGCATCCCCAGGGAGGGACATCCCTTCTTTCTCCACAAACCAGGGGCAGTAGGGACAGTGGCTGGACAAGCTTCCTACCCTCTGCCAGGCTGGTGCATCACAACAGACCTGGAGGGAGAGCATTAGTCGTGTTTAGGGTGACCAGACAGCAAATGTGAAAAATCGAGACGGGGATGGGGGTGGTGGTAATAGGAGCCTATATAAGAAAAAGACCCCAAAATCAGGACGGTTCCTATAAAATCGGGACATCTGGTCACCCTAGTTGTGTTCTGTAGCCCATTCAGTCGTGGGCGTCTGCTGAGAGAGACAACAAACTGACAATGCCAAACTTCGGGGGGGGGGGGGTGGGGGGGGGGGTTTTTAGTGATGCTGACACCTATTTCATTTGGAACTGGAGTGACACCCACTAATTTATTTCACCCAGGCCTCCAAACAGCTGTCAGGAGATAACAATCTTCATTCTGTACGGACCTAGGCTGGGATCGGACCTAGGCTGGGATCAAACCTGCCCCCGGGAGGTGAAAGGCTCCACTTTTCATCATCAACCCCCAGAACTGGTCCTCATCACCAGTCTGTCTGGAGGATGGGACAGCTCCCCTGTGGAGCTAGAGAAGCACTGGAAGGGAGCAGCCTCTCCAGAAATCTCCTTGGGATCCCCCAGGGAGTGACTCCGCTGCGGAATGCAGGGCAGACACTGGAAGGGCGGTTAGACTGTGGCCAGGTAAATGGTGGAAGCGTCACTGCTTGAGCCATTAAACTGGAGAAAACCCTGGAAAATAGACTGTAGACAGGAGTGCACCAACTTCCTCAGTCTGATGAGCATGGAAAAATCCTCTGGGGGATTCTCCTCCAGCTCCCCTCCCCAAACCTGCCTCCCTCACTGCTAGCTCAGCAGAACATTTCACACTGCAGACCACCAGGAAGGGCTGTGTACACCGCAGCGTGAGAAGGACTGGGGAGCAGAACAGAACCCTGCTCTTGGCTCGAGGGGAAGAGGAGTCCTTCCCCCTCGGATTTCTACAAGCAACGGATTTCTCCCTCAGAACACAGACATCACAGAGGGATAAAGGGCATCTCCTGTCAGTTACGATTTCATAGTCCTTTGTTCTAGGCGCGTCTCTCCCACGCAGTGTGCAGTAGCTTTTGGACACGGGACTGAGTTTTTAGGCCCGAGCAGCAAAGTATTTGTTCCTGCTGCCACTACTGTAAGAATGCAAAGAGCGTGTGAGGCTCGGAGGAGATGAGTGGAAAAAGGGCAGTAGGCTGAAGCCCCTGAGCAGGAATTTCAGTGGCTGGCGAGTCCGAGCCAATGGGCTGGAGGCTTGGTAACCCCAGGATGAACTATTTCGATGGGGGGAAAACGAAACTGAGGTTACTGAAAGCCTGGTACATGAACAAAGGCCCAGAGCTTGAGTGAAGGGACATCAAACAGCAGAGATCTCTCGGCAGAAAGACACATCATTAGCTGTAGTGATGGGGCTATATTCAGCAGATTCGGTGACAGACTAAGAGAAAGAGAAAGAAGAGAAAAGAGGAAGAGAAAGAATCAGCCCACTGTGGATTCTTATGCTAAAAACCCAACACAAATTAAAGAGTATCTTGTGCCCAAATCCCATCTGATATGCCAAACCCTCAGCCAGTGATCATCTGAGCTCTTTTACCGGTCACTGAGACAGGCTCTTTGGGTGCAAAACAGTGTCCACAATTAGTGACTTCTAAGGTGTGGCCCCTAGTCCTGCCCAGACAGGCAATCCAGCCTGCTGTAATCCATCTCCCCTCCTCAGTGTGGAAAGCTGCTGTCTAGGCAGGGCATAGGAAAAGCACACTTTCCCCGATGCATTTGATACAGGTCACATACAGACTCAAGCTCAGGCCCAGATCTGGAGCTGAACTCCAAGGTTTGCTGGACTTTTCATCCTGCAAATGTTTTGCATACACAGAACTCCCGGTGACGCCAACACAGATTCTGCAGGTGGAGGGTTGCAGGACTGAAACCTGGAGCTGTGGTTTGGCCTATCATAGAGATAGCAACTAGCTCCAATGTTTGGCTCTGGACCTGAGCTTCTCCAAGGTCCCAAATGTTGGTTCTGACTCACTTCTAGTTCCAAGAGATGAAATTATTCCCAAATGGGCTGATTTTCCTGAGGTTTGAAATGGCTGGGCTGCCCAGTTGGCGGATCCAGTAGTGACAGCATAGGAATCTCCGAGTTCTGCCAATAGAGCTCATCACTGCAAACTAATAAAACCCAGCAACAAATCCATGTGCTTGCTCAGACATCGCCCAGATGGAAATAAATAACAGGGCATGACTCTGAGGTCCTAGATCAAACCACAGAACAAAGCACTAAAAAATAGACTGACACGAACTGTTACAATACACAGCTTCTCAGCAGGGAGCATTTATAGTACGATCGCATGCCTATGTCCAGGCGATGTCCAGGGCCGTAGAGAACTCTTCTCTCAGGAAATGCTTGATGAGAGAGGACTGTATATGTGGAGGAAGGAAAAGAGCCTAAATGCTACACTGGCTAGGCTCTCTCCCTTATATGCTCAAACACTGACCAGGAAGAAACCTACATTGGCCTCTAGAGGAGGGTGGACTGGATGGCGCCTAATAGTCCCTTTCCAGCTCTTATTTCTGAGAGTCCAAGAAATCCAAGACTGTTCCGCAAACCTGGGGCACAACTGTTAACATCACATGATCCAGGGTCCCTACTAGACTAAGTGGTCAGGGTCCCCCAGAGATATACATGATACTGATACCTGGTATATTGCAATAGCTTGTGAATACCGATATATTCTGTATGGGATGCCAGCAGAGAAAGCGGTGCCAACCTCCTCTGCCAGCCCATGGGATAGAGCCACGCCACTCCGGAGGCCTTGGCCAGAGAAACTGGGGATGTGAGTCAAGGAATTAATCAACATTTGAATAAACATTAATAAAAATCTGTGTCGGAAAATTCATCCATCAATTATGGGCTTCTTGTCTCTAGGGGGAACTTCCCGGTGACCATAGCAACCTGTCACCAAGCCCCTGAGCTGACAATCTGACAGAAGAGAGGAAGGCAGAGCGAGAGAGAGAATAGGAAAGAGTAGGAGAGGGATGGAGGAGCCTACTGAACTCAATTACACCAGTGTAAATCCTGAAATCAGAGGAGTCACTCCAGATTTACAGCAGCATGTGTGGGATCAGGATCTGGCCCAGGGAATCATCACCTTCTTGCATGCTCACTTTGTTCAGCATGAAGTGGAAAGCTCCCCCAAATTGAGAGTAACCTCAGGTTGGCTCTGGAATTTCTCCTTCTAAACATCAGAGCTTTGTTTCGCCCTGCCTCTGTTTGTTTTCAAGAAGCTGGCTGTTCCCTCTTGGCCCTGCACGGGAAGTATTACACATCGCTACACCCCCTAGCAGAGGGACAGCTGATCAGGGCAAAGCTCATTATGCCAAAATAATCCAGTAATAATGTAAGTGGCATTAGGCAACTCGCAGGCTGAGATGCAGGAGTCAGGGGCGGGGGGTGGGGATCTAAGCTGCGCTACCACAGGAATGCCTTAATCTCACCCTGGTTCA